GCCTGCAGGGATCAGGCCCCAGCTTGCGCCCCCAGGCTTGCAGCCCCAGCTTGTGCCCCCAGCTTCGCAGCCCCACAGCCCCTCTTGGCACCCCGCTGTGGCCTGGCACCCACCCCTCACCTGCTCCACCATCTCGCCTGCAGGGTGATTGATTGGGGCCCCCCCGCCCGGCTCCCTCAGTACCTGGGAGCTGGGCGGTGGTTCCACCCCCAGGCACTGCCGCTGGTCACCAATGCCCACCATGTTCCGCACCGCCCCCTGGTGGTCAGCGCACATCATAGTGAGTGGTCGAACTCCTCATCGAACTCCCGGTTGAACAATTTGCATATTAGACTTGTATTATATAGGATAGGATAAGTTTTAAAAGAATATTAAGTCTTTTGAAAAACATTTTTGAAACTATTGTTTCTTACACCACAGATTTTATTAAAAGTTAGTAAATATTTTAGCAAAGCATCAACAAACCGTGTTTTTGATGTTTTAAATATTAATTCACTCATTAACTTAATGAATATTTATTGAGTACCCATTGTGAATAATAGTAGTGTACATTTCATTTGTGTTATCACTTTATCTTTTATTAAGTAATCATAATATTTGTGGTTTCACTAACACATATGTTTCCAGCATCATTCTTCCTCACTTGCAATATCGATTTGGTGAAGTTATTAAAAATTATCCTTGGACAACATTAAAAAGGAAATGAAAGCAGACATTTAAGCTCCACTCCCTCCCAGGGCCATCTGAAGTGGCCTCGGCTATTAATGGCACATCATTATATCCCCATGGGTTGTGACAAAGAGGTCACAGATAATTACCAGCACACATTTTTCTTCTCCCACAAAAGAAGTAAGATAGACCAGGTGGATTTATTTCAGGGGAAATATTGAATCAACTCGGACTTATTAAAAAGTAAAGTATTTCAAACTTTAGTACTCTATTATTAGTAACAAGTTAATTTCCACATACCTCACACTCTAAGGAAAATAGCTGTGTTGGGCAGTAACCAGTCATCAACACCTCAGTGTGAATGAAGACTTGACAGTGGATTCTAAGAGATGAAGTGAGGTAGAGAGAAGAGGACAGTGGATACTTGGAGTAGGGAGGGGGCACCCTGGGGGAAAATTATCTCTAACTTTCTAGTTTTGCACAGGAAATAATCTCCCTAGGTCCTAGCCCTACTTTCCCCAAAATCATACAAACTGAGTTCTTTACTAATTGCTATGATTAACTCTACTAATTACAATGATAGAAAAGGAAAGTCTTCTTCTGACAGCTTTATATGTTGACAGTCATGATAATGACCATTTATGGTAAACTTTTAAATGCATTAAAGTGGTGATAGTGAGGTTGGAGGTAAATATTGTTGCTATAGTTTTAAAATATAAATAAATAAAAATAACAATTCCATTAGCACAACAGTTAAAATATGCCATAATAGAACTGACAATAGCTTTTACTATTATAAGTATACTAGAGGCCCGGTGCACGGATTCGGCACTGGTGGGGTCCTTAGGTGTGGCCTGCAGGGATTGGGCTGAAACCGACATCCAATATCCCCCAAGGGATGTAGTAGTGCGCGAAGTGGAAGGTGGCTGGGAAGAAGCCCAAGCCGGTTACAGCGCTGCTCCTACTCATCCTGGCCCCGCTGCGCCTACTGCTGCCGCTGTTCCGTGGCGGTCTCTGCACACCCATCCTAGGGTGATACCGGTGCGCCCATGACTGAGAAGCTGCTGCAGGCTCCCGCCCAGTCAGTCCCGATGCCGGTCCCGATCCTGATTTTGGGCCCGGTTCAGATGGGGGAGGGGTGCATAGGAGGAGTGTCTGGGAGAGGCTTGCGCTACCACAGCTGTGCTCGCCAGCTGTGAGCTCAGCGTCTGGCACCCGTCGGTCAGCTGAGCGGTGCTCCAGCTGTGGGAGCACACTGACCACCAGGGGGCAGCTCCTACATTGAGCGTCTGCCCCCTGGTGGTCAGTGCACATCATAGCGACCAGTTGAATGGTCGACTGGTCGCTTAGGCTTTTATATATATAGAGAGAGAGTAGGGGCCCAGTGCACGAATCGGTGCACCTTAAAATGAACTGTGGGCCACAAGGCTGCAGTAGGCATAGGGGCAGGTCTTGGCCCATCCTCCGTGACCCCGCCCAGCCCCTCCCACCATGACCCTCAATCCTTTGTCTGCTGGCAGCCCCACTCCCGCTGCTGCCACTCTCATGTGCTGACGGCGCCGTCCCCGCTCATACCCGCTGACAGCGCGGAGTGATTGGGGCTGGTGCCAGCAGTGAGTGCAAGCGGGGCCGGTGCCATCAGTGGGTGTGAGCAGCAGCTGCTGCCCTGATCACCCCTCAGGAGCAGAGGGAGGTGGAGAAGCCCTCAAGGGTGATCAGGCCTGGTAGCCACCGCTTGCACCTGCTGATGGAGCCGAGTGATCGGGACCGGCGCCGGGCACTGGCAGCGGGTGTGAGTGGTGGCTCCAGTGCTGGCTGCGGATGCAGGTGGGGCTGGCGCTGGCAGCAGGTGTGAGTGCTGGGCAGGACTGCAGCACATGGGAGCAAAGAATTGTCAGTAACCACCAGAGGCTCACTCCAATGACAGCAACCGGCGCCTCGCCTTGGTCTGGCGCCCCCGCTCACCTGCTCCACCATCCTGCCATGGCCAACGGCCCCTGGTGGTCAGCGCATGTCATAGCAACTGATTGTTCGGTTGTTCGGTTGTTCCGGTTCCGCTGTTCAGTCTATTTGCATATTGGCCTTTTATTATATAGGAGGATAACATGATTTTTAAAAAATTCCTAAAGATAATATATTTCAAATCTATGTGAAAAGGATACATTGTTCAACAAATGGGGTGCCTATTTGAAAAAGAAAATAAAGACAAAAGAAAATAAATATATCACTCCTTATATAAAATACATCTTAAAAGGTCTAAAATTATAAAATAAAATAATGAATTCATTAAATTTCTAGAAGATAAACTGAGTGCATATTTTTATAATCTAGGAATAAGAAAGCTCTTTTTAAGCAGATACCTTGAGGGAAAGATTGTCAATTTGGGCTTTTTTTTTAAGTTAAAATATCTTTATGGAGTCGGGTGGAGGGGGAAGGTGTCTCCTTATTCTCACAGAAGTAACCATTGAAACATACTGGGGAAAAATATTCACAATTAATGACAAAGGATAAGACACAATAATCATAGAACGTTTGCATACAATGATGATAATAAGTTTACAAATAAGGACAAAATACTATAAGAGAGAAAATACTATAAGAGAGAAAAAGGGCAAGGACTTGAATAAAGAATTCAAAGAAGAAGAAACACAACTGTCCCCAAATTGTTGAGCACAGTAAGATGTTAGAGTGAGACCCTTTCATGGTCACCAGCCTAGCCCCCCATTTTATCCAGGGAAAAGAGGGTCAGAGAGCTTTAGTGATATGCCTCCTGTCATCCAGCCCATTAATGCAGAATTAATTTAACTTTACCTTGAAACGGTCTGTAGAGATCTTTATACATCAAATGTGAACAAAAGTTTGAGTTGCAACCCTCCACATTCAGACCTGTGTATGTGGCCCCTGGGCAGGCATCAGGAAGAACCTGGAGATGCAGAGGGAGACCCCAAGGCCCATTTGCATTCTTGGCTGCAGAAAGCAAGGGGCCCAGCTCATCTGGCTTGTCTGCTCTTTCAGTGGCTTTCAGATGTGAGACACTGAGTTAAAAAGACATTCCAGGTCAGCCCCTATTTGTTTGGAAGAAAACCTCAAGCCCAGCTCTGCTCAAGGTCACTGCCTGCAGGGCAAGGCCTTGCCAATGACCAGACCTGCCATCCAGGGCTGGACACTGATACAGTCTGAATGGAAACCAAGAGGAGGGCATAGAAAGCAAAATCAGTATAATCCTAGTGGCTTTAGGTATCATCTGGGTCAGGGGTTTCGTAAATCTGGCCTGCACATAGCCGAGGGCATGGGAAGTAATATTACTACTACTACTACTATTATTATTATTATTATTGGTAATATTCAGGGGTGGGCAAAATTAGGCTTACAGTTCTGAGTATGAGAAACAGTTTATTATATTATTATTTATTAATTACATTATTTTCCATATGAATAACTGTGAACCTACTTTTGCCAACCCTTGTACAGATACATTTTAATGGCCTTGTATTTGTTTCAATATGTATAGACAAATAACTAGCACATAAACGTCATGATTTCACATATATGATTTTGTTTTAGGATGAGCCTGCAGTAAGTGTTTAGGGTAAAAAAAAAAAAAATGACTTCATTTAAAGAACAAAGGTATGCAGGTGTTATCTGAATATGACAAAAATTGTGACTGAGGTATACAAATGACTGAAGTTTGGAAAACACTGATATAGCCCATTTTGTATAATTTGGAGGTGGGCATCAGCCCTGGAAAGAAATTCATTTGACAATGCTTGCCAACCCATGCATACACATACATTTATGCAGTTGCAACAAAGAGTTTGAGAAATAATATTTACAAATAATATTTGTGCGGTGCACTCTGAATGCTCGATTCATGTTTGACTCCTCTTTCCTTTTCTTTCCTCTCATGTTTGATTGTCTTAAGTCCTTCCTGTCAGTTCTGCTTCTAAAGGCTCTTTATTCATTCCTTTTGCCATCTCCAGTGCTTCATTCCTGGTCTGTGTCCCCATTACCTTTCACCTGGACTATACCCTAACCACCTCCTTGCCTCCAATCCAATGTTTCTCCTTCAATCCACCCTCCACACTGTTGCCAAAAAGCTTATTCAAAAACTCTGATCCGACCCTGTCATGCCCCAGTGCACAGGCTAAAGTCCAGCCACTAAACAAGGCTTTAAAGGCAACGGGTCGTGGGTCTCTGCCAACCCTTCCAAATTCCAAAACTGGCAAATCAGGACTAGATACCCAGGTTTCTTGATTATCAAATCTAGTGCTCTTCTCAACATACCATGCTGCCTTCTTCAAGCCTCTCTGCCTGTTGTTTTCATTCCACAGGTGATACCTGCATAAGTAATGTCCACCCTTCTGGTACGGGGAGTTTTGAAAAAATCCTGTCATGAGACAAGCAGAATGTCCATAAGGCAGACCTGCCATGATCAAAGGTATTGTGTCCCTGAACACATAATGTCATAAGTGGAGGGTAAAACTAGAGAGAGAAATGAATTAAAAGTGTCTATTATGCAATACTAAATTCATGTTGGCGACCACCAATATACATAAGGCTTATCTAGACCAGTGGTTGCCAACTGGTGGTCCGTGAGGTCCGAAAGGTTGGCGACCGCTGATCTAGACCATCTTCACTTTGCAATTCTCCCACACGAAGCAAATATTCCTGTGAGCAGACAGTGACCCTCTGGATCAACTAGAGTAAGCAAGGTATAGCCCACTCCCTGCCCTCCACCCCCGTTGATGTTGGACTTGCCTCAGCCAATGGAATATTAGCTGATATGACACAAGCAGAAGCTTCAAATATGGTTGCCTGTTTTGACTTGGCCTCTTGAACGGTTCCACCCTCTGCCAGAAGAGTATGCCTCAGGTAGTCACTGTGTCCTTTCATCTCGGTCCAGAAATGAAACCACATGGAGCAGACCTGTGTCTGACCCTAAGCCTGGAGTCCAGGTTAGCTCAGCCAATCCAGCTGAGCCTAACTAAGATCAGAGCGAGGCTGACCTGCAGCTCCATTAGCAAGAAAAAGAAATGTTTATTGTCCCCAGCTACAGAGATTTGGAGGTGGTTTGCAACATAGCAAGGACTGACTAACCCCCAAATAAAGTGGGTTTGGTTTTGTTTTTAACAAGTTAAAAATCAACGCTTTGTTTTTCTTTTGTGGATCACCTACAGGAGGGAAAGTAATAACACCCCGTTGATCTAGCCCCCAGCACATTTCTGGGGCGGCTCCCGGCATGGGGGTTGCGTAATGCAGAAAGCTTTGCAGCCTCATTCTCACATTAGTCTGACAAGAAAGTAAATTAGGACTTTTGTTACACTCTTGCACTCCCTCCCCCACTAAGTCACAGGGAAGCCCAAAGTACAACAGAAAATCTGGTGGCCCTTTATTAGCATATCCATGCCTCTCCTTTTTTTTTTTTTCTTTCAGAAACTGAGAGTTGCTTTTATCAAGGGCCTACAGCGTTGCGATCTTGTCCCCACGCAGCTTTAGCTATATTTTTTTCTAGCGAGAGTTAATGGTGCCTGAGTCCTTTTATAAAAGCAGAGTTCCCAGGAGGAAGCCAGCAGGGTTCACGCCACAGTGCCCAGTGGCCTGGATAACACAGACCTCGTATTCCTCTAGCAGAGGTCGCAGAGGAGTTTTGTCTCCTCTCCATTTAGCCTCCTGTGTATTCTCCCACCCTCCGGGCGTCTTCCCAGCTCGCACCCGTTTTCTCCAGTTGGTTCCAGCCGGCCAAGGCCCGCTTTCTCGCAGCCCGGAGCCTCTGCGCCATTGCGGACGCTCTCCTCCAGGTGGCAGTAGAGAGCCACTCCCTGCCCAGCCACTTACGTCACCTTGTTTACCCCGTCCGGGTCATTTTTAGATCTAAGATCACAGGATGTTAATGGGGCCACTGATTTCCCATTCGTTTTGGCAAAAGGCCCTCCTGTGGGCGTCGGGACAAACATGCTGTCCTTCTTGACAATGAAATTCTGCTGCGGGGAGTATTTATTTACAAACCTTTGGAATCTCATCTTTGGGAGATGGGAAAGCTACGCGTTGGTCTGTGCTCTGAGTTTGTTTCAGGTCACTTTAGATTCGGGGCCCGCACGAGGGTGGCGTTAACTAGGGAACGAGGAGATCCTAGATATTACAATGGTGTCTGGGAAGCATCGCCAGGGCCCCTGAGGGCCGTAGGGAGCCTGGCTTTTTACTTCCCCTTCCCTCTTCTAAAATAACTACTCAGCAGGAAAGCATTTGCACTTTGGAACTTGGAGGAATCAGGAAAACAGCTGATTAGGTCAATCTGTGTCCTGATTTATGGTAGGGAAACACGTTGAGGCCCCTGCCTCAGATGCCCTCACCCAGGAATTGGATCTGAATGTCTCATCGCCATAAATCACACGTTTCACAGGCTGGAACTTTTCGTCCCAACAGCAAGCTCCACTTCTTTCTTACTCCTTATTTATTACTCCCACTCCCAGCTACTGATGAGGAAAGGTGAGGCACAGAGGAGCTGAATGTCCTAGCTCGAACTCTCTCATCTCCAGGCCCTGTGTCATTTTTGCAAAAGTAAAAACATCAAAAGCACTAGGTCAGCTTTGGCAGGCAAGGGGTGAAAGGGACTGGGAGTGTATCTGTGACTGTTCAAGGAGCAAGATAAACAAATACAATTCCTCAGCTATGCACTCGTTTACAAGAAGAGGGTCAAAGCATCCATGCTAAGGAGAAGAAAGAAAGTCATCTGTGGATAATGTTAAAAATAAATGAGACTCCAAGTTTCTTAAGTGCCGGTTCCTCCCTGTCCACCTCCCATTTCATCCTTTTACACACTCCTGCTGGAGCTGCCAGTTAAAAACCAACTCGCAGAGAAGGCAAAGTCCCTCTCCCTCAAGTGGTGTGAGTCCCACTGAAGTGATCTCGCTGGCCTGGAGAAATAGACATTTTTCATGCAGGCAGGAAGGGGTAGAAAGTTCAATTCAGTTCGTTTCAACAACCTTCTCTTGAGCTTCTAATCTGTGTCAATGACTCTGGCAATATAGGTTATAAAAACATGAAAAGATACAGTTCTACCACTGTGGAACTTTGAGTCTAGTAGAGTTTATAGTCATAGGGAGTTTTTTATTCCTTTGGAAAGCACATAATGAAAGAAGGTTTGAAAGAGTCGTTGTAATAGAAAGGGAGAATGCCAGGTAAATGGCTTGGAAAAGCATTCCTTCACTTTGGCATCTACTTAAGAGTGGATTGGGGACAAGGCCTGGCAACATGACAGAGGTGCTTGGTAGAATATAGGAGCCCCAGCACTCCAAGCTTTTAAGAGGCTGATAGAGGAAGCCTCTTGTTCAGGGTGCATCAAAGGGCAGGGATTTGGAGCCAGTCAACAAGAACCATGGAGTTCTTCAAAGAAAGGGCCAGAGTAGGGAGCATTCCCTTTAGCTGCCTTCAGGTGTACATTCTGGACAAGCATTAGACCCAGCCTCAGAAGAAATATACTAGTATGAGTAGGAAGAAATAAGTGGTCCTAGATCCACTTATCAACAGTAAAATCACCTTTTCAAATGCCTTTTGTCAAGAACCTGGTGATGATTCAGATCCACCTAGTCACAGGAAAGACCAAATGGAGGGAAAGCAAACAATGAAATATTTTTATTTTTTATGGTTATGTGAAATTTAGAAAATATTTTTTAAAACTTTTAAATTGTTAAGCAAATGCAGACAATAGCATAAAACAAATGTACAATTTAATAAATTATAAGGCCAACACTCAGGTAACCTTGCAGCCACCCACAAAGTGATCTAGAACCATGTCAGCAATATCAAGAACTTTTGAAGCCACAGTTTAACTGTTGCAGGCTCTTAGGAGAGACTGGATGGGTCATTTACAGGATATTCTGAGACCTCAAGGAAAGAAAGGTCCCTTCAATCATCAATCAAGCAATACATACTGAGTACATATAATAGGGCTACATGTGAAGACTTCTTTCCTATACATTAACCTGAAGAAGGTGAGAAAGGAAAGGAACCAGTATTTGTCGAGTGCTTACTATATGGTAAGTGCTTTATCTGTGTTATCTAAATAAGAAAAAATTAAGGATGAACACTTACTACAGCTCTGGGAGGTTGGTGTTATGGTCACAGCTCTTGTTAGGTAGCCCACTTTAAAGATGAGGAAACTAATGCATAGAGAGGTTAAATAACTTGCCCAGAGTCATGTGGCAAATAAGAGGCAGTTGGCACTTGAACCCAGCCAGTCTGGCTCCAGAGCCCCGTTCTTTACCCTAAATAGTAACCTGGTTAGTGTGGTAGATACTTCTATTTGCCCTTCTAGATCTACTCTCCACTCTTTTCTATCCACTACATGCAAACTGTATCAACAGGCTCCCTTGCCCTTTGGTTTTTGGTTGGGTTTAGCAAGTGGAAGCCCTGGGCAGGAGATCAGAGGGAAGGGAAGTGTGAGGGAGACCTGGGAGGGCGGGGAGTGAAAAGAGGGCACCTCCGGTCTGGCTCCATCTCTTGACTCATGGTCACAGCTCTTGTCAGGTGGTGAACCACACAGGGCCCACTCTATAGGTCCTGGTGTTCACACCTTTCCTACCCCTTCAAGCCTAGGGGTGGTCAAGTAGCTGTTACTTATTACACTACTTCTGTGGTTTTCCTACATCCTGCCCACACCTTTGTAAATAGTCCCTTTATTCAACTCTCCTCAAATTACTCAATTTGAGTGTGCCATCTGTTTCCTGCCCAGCTCTGACCAGATATAAATAGGAAAGCAGCAACTCAAAGGCCTCCCTCCCTGTATGCGAAGCATTTCTTATGGGCACAGGACCAGTCGCAGGTGAATTGAGATGACTGCTCATTAGAAGGGCTTCAGGACAGGCCGTGTGTGTGTGTGTGTGTGTGTGTGTGTGTGTGTGTGTGTGTAGGGTCAAGACAAGCCACAAGTAGTTTTATAGGTTTAAAGGATCCTAGGCCTTCTGGAAGAAGAGCCAAAGGGAGGAAACAGAATATGGGGGAGATTAAAGAGATGAGCTTCCAGAGCCACACTGACTGGGTTCAAGTCCCGGTTCCTCCACTTACCAGATATATGACCTCTGGCAGGTCATTTAACATTTCATTGCTTCTGGGTCCCCATCTATAAGGTGGGATAATAACAGTAAGTGGGACAATAAATGCAATGTCTGGCCCATATTGAGTTATATTATTGAGGGAGCTCAGACATTAATTTTTTGACCTTTGAAAAGATCTGGGGGATAGTACACTGGGAAATCAGGAAGCAAACTGGAAGAAGATTGCCACAGCTTGGATCCTAGAACCAGTATGCAACACTAAGAGAAGCTCTTAGCATGACTGTCCTGGATTAGACTACCACGTGAGGGCACATGGAACATATGTCCATCAGAAGAGTAGAGGAAATAAGTTACCAGAAAAATCTCACACTGAGAGAATAAAGTACCCCCCCACTTCTTACCTTCCTAGAGGGTTCCCTTCTGTAAATATCACTTCTCTCTCCTGCATTCTCAATTTCTTCCTCTTGAATGGATATTCTCATCAGCCTATAAAAGATGCCCTAATATCTCTTATCTTGAACTTTTTTTGATTGCACATTCTCTTCCATTTCTTTGATCTCATTCAAAGCAAAATTTCTTCAGAGTTGTCTGTAGACACTTCTTTTTCCCTCCTGTTCTTTCCTTAACACAGTCCATTAGTATTTCAATCTCAAACTGCTCTTCTCATGGTCCAGTAAGCTCCACATTGCTTCATCTAATGGTCACATTCTTGGCCTCTTAGCTGCATTTGGCCCAGTGGGATGACACTTTTCATGTTGATGTATCTTCTTGCCTAGGCTTCCATGGATCTCCTGGATCCAGGAAGCCTGGATGTCCTCCTACCTCTCCAGGTTTGTCAGCATGCGATGCCAGCAAGCCAGCTAGATTAGCTCATTTATCAGTTCTTTACAGTGGCTCAGGAAATGTGAAGAAATTTCTGACTTTGATGACCATTAGATTCATGAGGCTGATGGGAGTTGGTGAAGGGTGGGATAGCCAAGGAGAAACTGGGATGGTACAGGGATGATCTCTAGTCTGTCTCGTGCAAGCCTGGGAGCTCACAGCAGTCAGATGCTGACATTCATCTAGGATTTTTATGGTCAACTAGCCTTCATTATTCCTGTTTTAGAAGAGAAGAAAATGGAAGGGGGAGGATATAGGGTTTATTAATTTTCTCGGTCAAGGTAATATAAGGAGGCACAGTGGTCCATTAGGGCTTTTTGTAGAAGAAATCCCTACACTTCCCCACTCATGTCCTGCAGGATCCCCAGAAAATAAAACTCAGTCTGTAGCACTTTCTAAGCCTTTTCCAGAATCAGTCTTCTCTTAAACAAACCAGGATCAGACTTGGGACCAGAGCTTAGCACCACTTGGTATTTATTCTTCTTTGTCTTTACTGGGTACCCTGTTTTCGTGTGTTGGGGCAGGGAGTGGGGAGTGTTTGGGGCATAGGAAACATTTTTCTGTTTAGGATTTTAAAATATTTTTAATCCTGTCCTCAGGGACTATGTCATGAATATGAGAGACAGGATGTTCCTAGGTGAGATATGCTTGAAAGAAGCCAGTAATGGTCTTTACAAATTATAAGTGCCATGACCAGGTTTGCAGGTAATTTGGAGGCCCGATGTCAAAATGTCAGAGAGGATTGTTGTTGTTGTTGTTTTACTATCATCAAAACAATATTTTATTGACACGAAAATAGGTAAATAACTGGGATTAATTAGAAAAAAGAAATCTTGCTATATGACAAAGGTGGCATTTTAGGTGTTTTTTTTTTCTTTATTGATTAAGGTATTACATGTGTTCTTATCTTCCCATTGCCCCGCCATTCCCCCACTCGTGCCCTCACCCCCCTGGTGTCTGTGTCCATTTGGTTAGGCTTATATGCATGGTAAGGGATGTTTTGAGGACAGTGGTTTCATTACCCATTTAGGCAGTTTCAGGGGATATAATGTCCATTCCTTTCTTCCTTCTATCTTATAACACAGAAATAAGTTATACGATAACGTAGCCTTCCTGTGTGTGTTTATCCTCATCTCTTCCAATGTGTCTTTGGAAAACCTAATGAGAAGTAGAATGTAGAGAAAAACAGAGTCAGGCCGTATCTGGGTTTGAATCTGAGTTGCCCTGTATAGTAACTGGGTGATTTGCATAAGTTTAGTTATGCTCTCAAAACCTCCGTTACCTTACTTATAAAATGCAGATAATAAAAATCATCTCATGGGGTTTTTGTGAGATTTAGAGTCAGTGTTCATACAGTTCTGGAGCATGTGTGTGGTCCATGCTCAGTAAGTAGTAGTGGTTATAATAAAGTTCCCAGTAGACTAGCCTTTCACATAAATCCCTTCCTGTGTATAAAAAAAAAAAAAAAAAAAAAAAAAAATCTGGTGAATCACTTAGATCAATTAAGATGTTTTCAGCTATAAGCTGCAGGAAATGCAACTGAGAATAGGTTAACAATAAGGAAGATGAATCATCTACTTAAGAAATCCAGAAGCCGCTTCAGCTTAATAATGGCAGAGAGGCTGAACATTCTTCTATCTCCCTGATGCATCCTTAGCTTATCTTCTTTGTCCTCAGGTAGTCTTCCTCCTGGTTCAAGATGGCACAGTCCTAGGTGTCACATGGAAATACAACCACATCCAATAGCAGAAGAGGACTGTCTTTTGGTATGTATGCCTTTTTAAGCAAGAAAATCTTTCTGAGAATCCTCCCAGTTGACTTATCATATTTCATTGGCCAGAATGACCTCATGTGCTTATGTTTGATCAAGAAGACAATCACGACAATTGGCAGTTTAAATCGGGTTTTTATTCCTGAAATAAGAAGGATGGTTCTTGGATAAGCAACCAGTCAATGATCTGCTCCATTGTTTGTTTAGCAACATCCAAAAAAAAGGTTTATTGAGCACCTATAATGTATGGGCTCAGGCTTTAGAGATACTGACATCACAGTTTACTGTCAACCACTAAATTTAGAACCTAATGCTAGTGATCTTGACTCACAGAGAAAAGGTGCTCAGGAAATGTCCTGGGAAGCAAGGAGCTAAAGGGCAAGGTGGAGGTGTCTGGGCCAGGTTCATTCATGGCCAGGAAGCGGCTGTCTTGGAAGCAGAGCTTGCCAAAGAGGTGAGGGAGCTCCCCAAGCTTCAAGCTGGCACTCAGCTCCCAATTATGTTTCCAGAATTATTAGCTTTGATTCTGTGAGAAAGGAACACATCAAAGCCAGAATCCTATGAATTAAAACGTTGACTAATCGGCCTAATTATAGTTCAGTCATCTGAATTTTCACACAATGAGCCTGAGTTCTCATGAAAGCCTTCTCTTGGGCAGGAGGCTTTGATGATGAAGCAGCTATTTATGTCCCAGACCCAGTCATACTCACTTTGGCCAGGAATCCTCACTGGAGTGCCATTGCCTGCTCAAACCCCTATGGGTTCTACCCCAGGTTTCTTGAAAGCTGAAGCAAGCTCAGTTGAGGCAGAGATTATAAAGGTTTTGGGAGCAAGATTCCCCTGCCTGGAGAAAGATTTAACCAGTGTGTAAGGATGTCATGATGGGATTCTTTTCATTTTCAATTTTATTCCAGATTTAAAAATACTGAAGTAATTTACATAGTCTAATTATACTTTAGGGAGAACCTTTTTACTTAGCATGTCTCAGTTATCAGATGCAGAGTGGTATAATAAATTTTAATCACTGTTTGGATGTTCTTTGCTGCGGTTAATAATATAGACTAAATCTAAATAATATAAACCTAAATCTTTGATGAGCTACTAAAGACATTTTTTGGTTGTCACAACTGGAGAGGATGGATGCTATTGGTATCTAGTGTGTGAGGACAGGTATACTTTGAAACATCCTGCAATGCACAGTTTAGACCCCTACAACAAAGAATTATCTGACCCCAAATGTTAACAGCACTGAGATTAAGGAATCCTCTGATAAAGGGTAAATAAAGGTCCATTCCACATTAGTCATCCATTCAATGTGACAACATGTTTACTTAAACAGTGTCACCTGCCATCAAAAGAAAAATTTGGGCAAACTCCTTTATATTTAGCATTTCTGAAAGAGAGCTAGGAAGAAAGAAATGGATTCAATTCATGGCAATCATAGTCTCAAATCTTATGGAAGATGATTAATTCCTCCTAGTCAATACCTTGCTCTTTAGGTAGCTGGCACGTGGTAAATAACAATGATGCTTATGGATGCATAGGTCCACTGGTCAGCCATTCTTCCTATAAGGACAATTAAAGAAATAGTGTATAGAGCAGCCGTGGGCAAACTACGGGCCGTGGGCCAGATCCGGCCCGTTTGAAATGAATGAAACTAAAAAAAAAAAAGACCGTACCCTTTTATGTAATGATGTTTACTTTGAATCTATATTAGTTCACACAAACACTCCATCCATGCTTTTGTTCCGGCCCTCCGGTCCAGTTTAAGAACCCATTGTGGCCCTCGAGTCAAAAAGTTTGCCCACCCCTGGTATAGAGCATGATCCACTCAGTATATTTCTGTTCCGAAACTACTTTTTTAAAAAGAAAGTTTTAATCAATTCTATTGTAAATATTATATAAGCACTAACAAGGTTTAAAATCATGCAAGACAGGTACAAATTAAGTACTCTTGATATTAAACTTAACTGTTATCAAACTGTGCCTAAATCAACTAAAGGAGCCTTAGGCCTTCCTCTTGCTTCCTAAATCTTTCCTATGTTATATAGTGCATTTGGAGCTTAACGTTAATTGGCCTTTTCAACACACTCTTAGGATGTTCTGTTCTGTCTTGTCCTTCTGGAGAAAGATCTCTTAGAAATTGTTTTAATGAACACATGCCCATAATTTAACAAGTCAAATAGCATTAAAAGTCTAATGAAATTCAACAGTTTCCTTCCTACTCCCCTTAGTCTTCTTGTTCTGGCATTTACACATTGCCATATATTAAGTAATATACATGTGCTGTTCTCTTTCGGTTCAGCACTTTAGATGTATTATCATCCTTTTATGGTAAGTGAATATTTAGCACTCTTTTAAGCTATCCCTTTGTTTTAACTCTCTAATCCTTCCTACATAATGATATAATTTTTAGTTAAATTAATATTTGGTGTTTACATCATTATACACATGCAAAGAAAGTTACCTTTTGTTTTCCCTGATGTTAATAATTGCCTTGTTTTTTCACTACTGACTACTTTAAGTTTTTTCGTTTGCAGTATTTGTGGTTAAAAGTATTGTACTTGTGATCTAATTTCTTTTTGTAGAGGCCGTGTTTTCAGCCCCTGAATGCCTTCTCACTTGTGACTCACTGAAAAGATAGTCTAATGTCTAGGCCCAGCCCATTTCCTATCATCAGCTTTATCTTTCCCAAGTGGGTCATTCTTCAGTCAGAAGTTTTTGTCTCCATTAAAGATTCTAAGTTCAGCTAACCTTCCATGCCACTTGCTAGGGGCCATGTAAAAGTAAAGGCTTAAACCCTCAACACTACAGTTTCTCCAGTCACACATTTTAAATCACTTACTAAGCAGCTAACATTGGATTCTTCAGAAGGTCTCAGGGACAGTACTGGTTCCAGCACATGTGAACACAAATTTGGTAGCTTCTAGAAACTATTGGTGGGCGACATTCACAGATGGCTGCCTCTAGGATCAGTTTTCTCCTTTTTAGCTTTATATTGTTGTTAGCTGCCCTTCAGGCTCAGGACCTTTGAGTTGCCTACTGCAAGTAATCCTGGGATGTGAACAACCCAGGGTTTGTTTAGAATGGTATCGAACAAGTAGCAACCCTCTTTGGTTTCTACTTTCATTGAGCATGATCTATCATATATCCCCAGGTCTTACTGCCCATTTCCTTTTCCTTTCTTCAAGGATCTGTGCTGGTATTCCTGTCCCCAAGGGTGAGTGGGTCTGTCATAGAAGATGAGAACTCCAATGTTAAGGAGAACAAAAGCTCATTAAAATTATGCATGGTTCAATTCATCCAGACAAAAGGCCTCACTCAGCAGAGGATCTCCTTCTGAAGAGCTTCTCTCCAGGAGTACCCTGGCCTCTCGAGATGCTGACAGCAGTTTCCTGACTTAGCTGATTCAGCCCTGGTCGGCCTGCTCTTGGAGTATACTGAGATGTCATGTCAGCTTCCTGGTGATAACCGGCCTTAGCCTGCCATGCCTGTCTATTCCTGTGCCCTTTCTTATGGAATTTCTGCCCATCCAAAACTGAGCAGTTGTGGAAGTAAGTCTATGCTATAAAACCTGGAAGCACCCAGATCTCTCCTCCAAATTCAGTGACCCCTGCATCTAACAGGAAGACATACACAGATGCTGAAAACTGGTGTAGTATCTTTTTCTTAAAGGCAGGCTTGACTTTGTACTGCTGCATCTCTGCTCACTTCTACACAGAGAACAAAGGAATTTTTGTGGAGGCAGGCACATCCCACATTCCTAGTTTACAGAATTTATTTTTAACCAGAACTACATTTAGAAATATATGAGCAACTATACTAGTAATAATAGGCGGAAGAAGAGAAGGCGTGTGTGTGGATTCATCTTTCTAGGTAGGTATGGCTCCAGTTAATATTTAAAATGGTCTCGAATTCTCTGAGCCACACTATCTGATGGGGGAGGTTGTGACGAGAGAGACAGGTGGCGGTGGGAAAGCTGACCTAGGATTAAAGATTAATTGTACTCAATTTGGAAATTAGATCATTGTAGGCAGATGGATATGGAGTTTAATATGATTTTGTATTTAACTTTTTTGAGGAGATTTAAAATCTTATGCACCAACTAGGCAATTTATGAACTCACATTTCAGCTTTAATTCTACCTCATCACAAGTAGAATTATAGGGCTGGAAAAACTCCACCAATCGTTCTCCCTTGGAAAGAACCACACCCGGAGCCAGCCAGGGCAACAGGGATCCCTAACACATTTTTTTTTTTTTTTGAGACTTCTAATTTAAGGTATTCTACAGCCAGTCTCCCTCGGGAGCAAATTCTGGTGTTCTACTTTTCCATTCTGTTAGCCTCTGCTGTGTTTCCTCTTCCCCTGCTCCAGGCAGCTGCATAGACCAAGAAACCTTTACCTCCACCTTCATCAGCTTCAGCCTCAGCTTTAGCATCTTCAGGGGCCTGCTTTACTGTTCCATGGGCTGTGAAGTGAGGCATGCTGGACCAGGGCACAGCCCTGGGCCAAAAGGGAAAGAGAGTAAACAGGGAGGGTCCTGCCCACTTAGGGTATAGGACTTGGGCCAGAAGGAACTAACCTGATTCTAGAGGCTGGCCCACAACAGAGCTTGATCGATTCAAGATACAGTGCCCAAAGGGAAAAGAAAGCCTGGGCAAATGACGGTCCTAGAGTGTCCTGTTCGGTTGGTGGTGTAAGGTAGGGAGAGATTCCGGGCAGCAGCAAGCATGCAGGCAATGGATCCAGCAGAGATGTGGTTCTGGAAGAGCTGAACATTCGTGGAGGTATCGGCAAATGGATGAGGGCATAAAGAAGAGTTCACTTTCTTTCAGGGAAAGATACTGGCAAGCAGGCAAGGGTTTCAGGGCCCGAATAAGCAGTCCAAGGATTAGACTAATACTCAAATTCTGGAGGGAAGGTGGGCTCCCTTCTAGTGGTCATTGCTGATGCAGCTCTCCTCATTCTGCCCACTCTATCAGGGTACCTTATTACATCTTTGGAGTCAATGACCACCTTGGTGATTTCCTACTTTAAATCTAGTCCAGACCTTTCCTGGACTCCAGGCCTTCATCTCCAGCTGCCCACTGGACCCCTTAACATAACATGTTCAAAGAAACTCACAGCTTCCCCCAACCTGCTTTTCTCCCTATGTTCTTTATTTCAAGGGAAGGATTCATTCTTGATTCTTCCTTGTTCTCACTCACCATATTTAGTCGTTCATAAAATCCAATCATATCTTCCTTCTAAATAGCTCCTAATTTTGTCCCCTCCTGTTTCACTGGCAATATCTTAGTCCTGGTCACCATCACAATTTCACCAGAATTTGTGCTATAACCTTTTAACTGTTCTCCTTGCCTCTAGTCATGCATGTCCTTTGCCAACACCTCCTCCTAAACACAACTTTGATTTTTATCTCTCTTCTACTTAAAATCTTCACTGCCCCCAGGATAAAATGCAGAACTCACCAGCTTAAAGGCTCACCTGCCCTGCCTACCTGTCCACCTCTTACTTCTTCTTCCACATCCTCCTCCAGCCATATTGAACTTCTTAAGGTCCCTGAGGAAGCCTAGATTTCTCTGGATGCCACATCTGTGTATATGGGTTCTTCATGTGAATAACTTTTATTCATCTTTTGGGGTTCAATTCAAAGTATCATCTTCTCTAGGACTCTTCTCTGGGTGGATGCCCCTCTTACCTGTTCCCATAGTCAGAGTCTCCCTCTGGCCTTCATGCTTGTTTCCTGTGTGTGTCTTCTTGACTAGACTGTGAACACATCCTGGCAGAAACCAGGTCTTTTCCACTGGGAGCAGTGTGGCAATGCGGAGATCATGGGTTTTGGAGTCTGCCAGACCTGTGTTTGAAAACCAGACCTGGAATATGACACATGAACAAGGTCTTTATTATCTCAGGATCTCTGTCTCATTAGCTGTAAATGATATTTCCTCATAAGTTGTCATAAGGATTGACCGTGGTAATAATACAAAGCACTTGGCATTGAACTGGACACATTCAGAGGTGGGGAACCCTTTTTCTGCCAAGGGCCATTTGGATATTTATAACATCATTTGGGGGCCATTCAAAATTATCCACTTAAAATTAGCTGCTATATTTGCTCAAACATTTAATTAACTCACCCCTAGACCAAATAATTTCGTGGGCCTTATGCAGCCTGCAGGCTGGACATTTCTCACTCCTGTTAGATGCTTAATAAATGTTGGATGAGGGGAGTACAGGAAGAGAAGCTCCAAATAGGCTTATAGGCTTGTGGTCAATTCTGAGAGACGCTTACGTGGGTCACCGTGGCCTCTGCCATCTTGGCAGAGAGATGACAGAGTTGAATGGAGTTAAAGCCAGATTCAGTCTAGAGAGGAAATGCTAATCAGTGGTTCTCAACCTGTGGGTCGCGACCCCTTTGGGGGTTGAACGACCCTCTCACAAGGGTCGCCTAAGACCATCGGAAAACACATATATAATTACATATTGTTTTTGTGATTAATCACTATGCTTTAATTATGTTCAATTTGTAATAATGAAATTGGGGGTCACCACAACATGAGGAACTGGATTAAAGGGTCGCGGAATTAGGAAGGTTGAGAACCACTGTGCTAAGTGGACAGGAGCAAGGCAGCACCCAGGACCAATGGAGAGCAAGACAAGAAAGACGGAAAGTGAATGTGGGTGGTCTCAGTAAGACTGCATGCAGGGCCATTACTAAAGGCTGGCTCAAAGGGGCTGACTTGCCAAGTGCCTTAAGCTGGCATTGGACAATAGGAAGCACATTCTCACCTCTCCCTCTGGAGCTTTGAAAACATACTTGCCTGGTCTCCACCTCCAGAGCTTTGGTTTCAAGGGCTCTAAAGTAGATTCAGGACTGGGCATTTTAAAAGCGCTTCAGAGAATTCTGGTGCAGGGAAGACTGCGAATCACCAGTCTAGCATGAAGGCAGCCCACCCAGAAGAGGGAGGAGGTGTGGATTAAGTTTGCATGTAGGCCCCTAACTGTTCCCCATGTATAACTGAGGGAAAGGATGGTGGTGGGTGGGGGTGGCTGCTACTCTCTTACCTACTTTGGTGAGAACTAGCTTAGCACTAGTGCTGGCCCATCCACAGACGAAATGGCAGGGAACACGGAAAGACAAGAGTTGAAAGAAAGGAACTATGGACACCCTTCCTGATCTCAAAATTCAGCCTGCCTCTCACCCCTTGCCAGAGGAGACCAGGTACTTTTTGAGAGGAGGGAGCTCCCGTTGGGAAGTGATGAGGTGGAGGAACACCTTTCCCTTCATATCCACTGCAACCACAGAGGGGAAAGCCAATGGGGATCTGCTGCTCACTTCTCCTGGGGAATAGCTCAGAGATGGCAGCTTAGAGCTCATGGCCATTCTAAGAATGAAAGGAATTTATTTTAGATTTAAAAAAAAAAAGGAATCCCCAGCCAGCTGCAACAGACTCTTAGTTTGAAGAAGTCATGAATAAGAATGAGAAAAAAAGGGGGGGGGGGGTAGGAACTCTTATTAAAAAATTAGAATCAGCTGATATTTATTTGAAAAAAAAAAAAAAGCTTACTTCTCTACTCTGTGAATTTCCACAATCTGTATATGTAAAAGGTAATCAGGCTGATGACGCCTATTATAGTTCACAGGAATAGACCCATTAAGGAGTGGTATCAGGAAATGTCTTCAAGTAAAAGCTGGCCTTTATTTTATCAGGCTGGTCCTCACTAGACCCTTCAAATATTTGATCATGCAAACCAGATCAAAAGTCATTGACATGAGCCTATGCAGTGCAAGTCTCTGCTTGGAAAGAAATTAGAAAAAGATGGCCCCTGATCAGTAAAATTTGAAAGTGGCATCACCTCCCCTCTACTTTCAAAGCAGAGACATAGCCCAGGGAAGGAAGAAGATGAAATTAAAAACAGGCAAGAGGCTTACCTGTTACTGACCTTGATGTGACCCCATCTCCCCAGCCCCACCCCACCCCACCCTCATGACACTTCACCTACATACACCTACATATACACCGATTACACCTCTTATCACCTTATTGTAAAATTAGTGCTGTAAAAAACTAAAGCTTTTGTGTCAGCAAAGTTTTCCCTCCCCACCCATCCCCACCCCCCAAAAAAAATCAGAAATTTTTGTAAAGTGGCTCATAATCTTCCTGGAACTTACCTAATTGTAGAAAGACCTGAAAATAAAGGGACTTCCATTCCCAGTGGGCAGAGACTCGACATGGGCTATTTTAGTTCAATCATCTCTTCCTTTTTGGAAATTAACAGCTCAAGTCTCTATTGATTTAACATGCTGTCCCTGTGATGCAGTGGGGACTTCACACAAGTAATGAGGACAGAACGTTCTGTGATATTTTAACCCTTCTGGTCTTTTGTTTTTGTAATTTTCTCTAAAATGGAAACAACTCAAATACATAAATTGATTAGAGGGAACAAGACCAATACCTGCATTTCCTCTTGATATATATATTGAGTACAATAATATATATAAATTGAGTATATATTGAGTAATATATATATATATATATATATATATATATA